CTATTTGTCGAGATTTTTGTTGTAATTTTTTTGTTAATGTTATTGTACGTTGTCCATCATCATTTAAATCAAAATCATCATTTAATTCATGTTCCATAAAACGTGATGCTAATTTACCAGCATTTCTTTCACGTAAATCAATTAATTCTTGATATGTAACACATTCATACCAAGCTTTATCTTCACGAAATTTTTCTAAACGTGGAAAACGTAATGTAAAACCACATTTATATTTATCTGATGCCATAAATTCAGTTGCTTTAACTTGTACAATACATGAATCACTTGGTTCAATCCATACATCAGGTTTTTCATGTGTACATAATATATATGATGGTGCAGTTTTTTTTGTCCATGGTTTCCATTTATTAGCAAAACGATTATTAAAATCAAGTAATTCTTTATGTGTATAACCGGAACCAATTTTACAAAATGTATAATAAAGATAATCACGTACATCAGGTTTACATTGTGTTGATGTTGTAGCATTTTCATCATCAGGATTTTTTTGTTCAGAATTATTTGCTGTATTTGCTTGTTTAACAACAGCACAACAAAGAAAATGAGAAAGCATACCAGCACGTAAACGACCTGTACCAAAATAACCACCAACTATCAAACAATCGATTTCATCATTAAGACCTAGAAAGCAAAAAAGAAATGTATTATTTAATGAAACTTATATTGATAAAAAAAAAAAAAAAACTCACCAATAGTATAATCTGGTTTAATCTGTAAAGAGATTAAAAAAAAGAACATAATTAGTTTAATAAGAAAATATTCTGAACTTGATATCTTAGTGACTTTGTTGAGAAAAGTAGATCACTGACTTATAAATATCAGAGAAAACATTTTCATGTTATGATATTACGACTTAATGATGAGAATGTTACCACATTATGTCAAACGAGAGAAGTCTTTCAATTGATTAATCTCTTTTTGATTGAGAATTTTGTGTGACTTGTAGATCTTAAGAAACTCTAAACATTGTGTAACAAATCGAATCTTTAGCTTATGGCTGGGAAGATATTTTCAAGGTTAGAATTCATCCTTTAAAACAGTAAAAAAGACACATTCTCAATCGTTGAGTAAAGGTCAAGAGTTCACAGATAAAGCATGAACTAGAATACGTCTCTTAATCAGAACAACATCTAAAAATACGGAACAAATCGATATTCTTATTAATCTTACTCTTAAATCATTACGTACTAAAATAACATCTAAATACGAATAAAATATAGAACACTATTTGTCCTATCAACACATATAAAGAGACGTTGTTCTATTTATGTTCTTCACAATATTAAAGCACTGCTGTTAGAGCCTGTCAGATTGATTCCGGACTCAGTTGGATCCGAAAAATTTGAACTGGCTGGACTCTTACCATTGTTACTACTTTTGATATACTAAAAATAAAACTAATATAACGAAAGAATGTTCTCCTGTCACTATCTATACTGAATGAAATATTCTAACATCTTCCGAAGACTTTTTCTTATTATTACAATTCTTCTCTTCTGTGCTCTATTTCATGCAAAACTCATGAATGTTTTCCTTTTTAGTTCATTATCCAAAAAAAAAAACAATACATACTTTATACCATCCACCATTTTCTCGAACATTTGGTTTATAAACTGACCATGGATCTTTAACAACAATACCTTCTTGTCGTTCTTCAATAGCTAAATTTAATTCGTTAATAACATCTTGATTACTTGTACCCGGTTTAATAGCTGAAAAAATAATTCGTCCTTCAATAGGTTCAAGAATTTTTTTATGTAAATATTGTAAACGTTCATTCATTGGTTTATTTGTTAAAATTTCATCATTATACATTAATATATCAAATACAATAAGACATGGTTGTAATTGGGAATCATTTGCTTGAATTGATTTAACATCAAAACTATCACCTTTCGAATGTATAATCTTTTCATTTCGATTATAAATAACCATTTCACCATCTAGATTTTACAAATAAATTGAATTCTTCTCAAAATAGAAAAAATAAATTCATCACTTACCAATAATACATTTTTCACAATCAATTTTAAATGTATTTGCAATATAAGGTGTTAATGTACCAATATTATTAGCATCAGGACCAAATACACTTGTATAATCATGACCATTACGTGAAAAATACATAAATTGATCTTTATCACGATGTAATTGAAAACGATCACCATCATATTTTGTTTCAATATAAAATTCAGCTAAAGCTGCTGTTGGATTAGTAGATTTTTTACGAATTAATTGTTCAATTTTATCAGCTCGTGTTCTTTCACCTAAAAGAATAAATTTAAATAAAATTCAAATAGAAATACGTTTTTTTTTATTTACCAAGCATAGGTCGAAATGGTGAAAATAAACTAAGACCAATTTCATGTAAACGTTTTTCTGGATCATGTAAATAAATAGCTACTTTAAATAAATTACTTGTATGATCAAATAAATCTTTTGCATCTGGATGAAAACATTCAAGAATAGAGTTTTCTTTTAATGATATACGTAAATCTTTTAATAATATGCGAATGAGCCATTTTAATTCAAGTGCACTGAGATGACGAAGCAAGTACGTAAGACGATGATCGATAATCTAAAAAAAAAGAATAAATATCAGAAATATTTTAGTTATGATTAAAAAATTAGATCCATAATTGAATTCATCTTGTGAACATTTACATGTTTTATCTAATTTATGAAATTGTAGAGCAAAAAGTTTTTTACGTAATAAGAAATCTATGAAATTCTTTCCAGCTTAATATTCAGTGTTTGTTTCAGTTCAAAGGACAGCGCTTTAGATAGCCAATAAAGTTCTCTATCAGATATATTGTCTATCAAGATTTTTGTAGTTAGACTATGTGACAAAGTTTTTCAAAAATCGGAACACAATAGTTTCAGGTCTGAAAGATATCTTAAGTGTTCGTTTTTAGCAGGATCATCTGAATGAGTACAGAACTACATAAGGAGTGACCGCGTTGTTTATGATCTTTCTGCACAAAACTACAAGCATAAAAAAATTGTTGAAAATGTATACTGTTTTGGAATACTTGTAACTTTGTAAAGTAAGGTTATAAAAAGGACAGCAATCCTTCATATTGTTCAAGACTTTGTGTTTTTCAGACGCTATTGTTAAATAGGAACTCCTACAAACTTTTTCTGGGACTGATAGAGAAGTTTATTAACTAATTAAATCATCGATTAGATTTGAGTTATGTATTCGGCATCACAGAAAAAGTCACAACTGCATTATTCTTATAATTTTGAGCAGTACTATCTGTACCACAGAGCTTGAATCGGATCATATTGGTAAACTCAATTAATTTGTGCTGAGGGACATCAACTACGGTCCCCTCTTCATTGGGCTGATTTCAAGTGAAATGCTAGCATCCATCACAGAAATTGTTCAATTTGATTAATGCGAGAACCACTTTAAGTGGTATCTTTCGTTTGAAATGAAACAAACCTCATTATGTATGGGCTGTTGAGAGTAGAAAGTGCCTAGAATAGTTACTTCTCCTGCACTATCCTACTTGGGTTATAGCCGTTACATTGGACTTCTCATGTGCAAAAACATAAAAAAACGAATTTTGACCTAAAGCTTTGTTAATAAACAACTCTTGACATCATTAGAATATTCTGAAAACTTCATCCAAAAAGAGTAATCCCTGTTGGAGATGTCAAGTCGTCGAGATAGATTGTCTGTCCTTTTCTATAAGATATTATAGCTTCTTTTGAGATTTGATATCTTCAAAAGAAATCATTATAATGGTCTCAAGAGCTATTTATGAATAACGCTTCAATCCGAAGTTCGTTTGTTCCATTTTTTTTTAATGATGAAAAGATTCAACTAAACGGTCAAAGCTCTAAAAGGATAGCGCATGTGAATGAACGCTTCTAAGTTTTTTCTAGTTTCAATACACCCTATCTCATGAGAAGTATTTCATTTTAAACGTGAGGTGTCACCTGAAATAGTTCGTTTGAAAATATTTCTTTCAAAGTCTAATCACGATATTATATGAATCATATGAGTATTTTATTTACTCTTTTCTAACTTTAATTTATGAACTATTTTCCATGAAACAAACCAACATACCTTTTGACCTTCTTTTCCTTTTCCATTTTCTACGGCAATTTCATCCAAAATTTTATTTATTTCCCAAATGCTCATTGTAACATCTTCATTACAACGATTTTTAAGTACATAATAAGCTACTTCAGCAAAATCACTTCCTTTTTGTGTACGTGTATTTTTTTGTACACGAAAATTAAGTCTAAATATTAAAAAAATTATATTAACGCATAAGAAAACGTCAAATTTTTACTTACAGTTTTTTTCCATCATCACTATCTTTTGAAATACTAAGTACTTCAACAAGATGTTTACCAAGTTTACTTTCTTTTAAACCATATGCAATACGTTCACGATCTGATTGTGGTAAAAGAAGACGTAATATTGGATAAAATGAATCTTGCATAATTGTCGGTGATGTTCCACTAAGACTACCACTTGTTGTTGTTTGTCCTTCAGTAGTAGTTGTTGTTGTTGTTGTCGTCGTTGAAGTTGGTAAATCATTAGCATGAACTTCTTTATGTGTCTTACGCCAATCACTTATAAATTTTGTCATTAATTTTTGTTTAGCAATAGCACCTTGACTTTTTGATATTCTTTCAAGTAAATTACATAAATTAGAAAATTTAACTACTTTAGATGAATTCGGTAATTCATCATTAACATTCGGATCATCGATCATCATGGATGTCATCTAAAAGATAGATATATTCATCCATTGTCTGTTTATTATTGCTGCGAACTATATATATGTATATATATATATATATATATATATGCACAAAACAAAAAAACAACAACAAAAAAAAAATGACAACACATAAAATGATATTAAATTCACTGCTGCTGAGTAGATGATAAGACTAGGAAAAACATAGAGATTCAAATATATACAAATATTTTTTTTTGCTAAAAAAAAAGAAGGTTACACCGGCGTCTCGCGTATGAATCGAAGAAATGTATGTTTTATATTAGCATGAAATATATGATGTGCGAGTATTGTTCGTTGATCATCTTCATTAGTTATTACTGATGTTGTTGGTAGTAATGGTAATTTTTTTGTAAGTAAATCTTCATGATTTGTTGATACTGATTGAATTTCTTGAGATTTATTGTCTATTATATCCGATGTATGTAATCCAGTTGTCGTATTTGAAGTAAGTGTTAAATGTTTAAATGTTTGAATATGATCATTGACATCTTTGAAAAACAAAGAAAATAAATTAATTCATTAATTAATTAAATAAGCAAAAAAATAATAATACTAATAAACAATCAATATATAGTATATATATAAGCAAATATACACACAAAATAAAAGAAGAAATAAGTGATAGTATGACTACAAGTATAAAAATATAAAAAAGACAAAGGACGTTTGTGATAGTAAAATTTTATATCTATGTGGAAAACAGAACATAGGACTTCTTTTGTATTTACCCTCGCAAGGCGATTAGTAAGAGCATTCATTATCATGACATATCTTCTAGAATAAGAGAAAGTTTGAGAACATAGCTCTAGCCAACAATCACATGGTTATTAAAGCATAAAGCATAGCAACAAAAGCAAAATCAATAATAAATATGTTAATGATTCATTCCATAGCACAAACATCCTGTAATATTAAACATGTGTCTTTGTTTTTTATACATAAATATATTCAATATTGAAATCTAATGGCATAAATATAAAAGCTAAAATCAAAATCAATCGGTCACTGTTAAGAGTAATCATAAAAAATAAAAGATTTATCATCCACTTTGATAATAAAATCGCTTATTTTCTATTTTTTTTGTAAATACTTACAAAATCGAATCTTCATATTAGTCTTTCTTTTTCCTTAAAGAATAATACAATGAGAAAAAATAATCGACATTGTACGATATTTGTATTAGTTAAAATATATCGAAATTAAATTTTTCTATTTTTTGTTGATCATTTCTATATCAACTATCAACTTCAATAGATATTACATATATCATATCTAATTTTTTTTGTCACGAAGAAAACAATAAAATATTCTTTATTGAAGTATGAAAAAACAAAGTATTTTAATCATCAATATAATTGACTGATAATTAAATTTTAAATTGAAAAATAAAATCTTCTATTCTGATGTTTAATTAGTTTCTTTTTCGTTCTTAACTCATAACAGTGACAGATGATTTTGTATTAATAAATGAATTAAGTGATAAAAAATTCACACAACACACACACACACACACAAAACAAAAACAACTTAGCAAATAGCAACCAAATGTTTGCAATTAGGAAGAAAAAAATAAGGGGTAAGAAAACACACTAATTAAAAATAATAAGGACAAAAACACCAACCTTGTACCAAACGTATCGTTAAGGATAGATATACCGGCTAGAAAAATAGATTTCAGTATTGAAAAAAACAAGAAATATATATAGCTAACCTTATGATCGCCTACACAAACATCATATCCCATTATATCATATATTGGTTGTTTGGCCTGTAAATATGATTTTGAATTAATGAAAAGAATAATTTAATAAAATTTAACCTGAGTATCAACAAAATTTTTAAATGAATGACTAAGAAGAATACGATCACACCATGCTGGACAACGAGCACGTAAATAAGAACGAGCTTCATGCTGTTCTTCACTATATGGATAACTAAAATAAAATAGATTTGGTAAGAAATAAGAAAATATTTTGTAATATAAACCTTGGCGGAAAAGTTCTTTCATATTCAAACAGATGATCATGAAATGAGGATGATTCAAAATCAAACATACGAGCCTAAAAATAAATAAATAAAAAATAAGAATTTTTAATAATTAAAGTCTATTAGAGCCAAATAGAACATAAAGATTAAATTGATATTATTAGATGAATGAAAAAAAAAATTGATCTTGACGATAAAATTTGTAATTCGTTTTCCAATAATCAAATTAATAAGACAAGCAGTAACTCTAGATGAGATAAAGACTTTTTTTTTTCTATTTTAAGAGAATTCATATAGATTAATCTAAACGTATCTATGACCTCGAATCAGATCAAGTTACTAAAAAAATGTTTTCCATTCTGTTTTGGTTCTCAAGGACTCGAATGATAATTACCTGTTGTGTATTTATATTAAAAAATGAATCATGATTATCATGAAGATTAAATTCTTTTTTTTTAATTGTTAATTTTGGTTTATTATTTTCATGTTTTATAATCATTTTGGTTATTTCATCACTATTTTCTTCTTTAATTTTATCAATTAAATCATTTCGTTTGTTTGAAATGTACTATTTAATAAATAAATAAAAACAAATATATAAAACGAAAACTTTAACGTATTAAATTTCATTTAATTTACTTCAATCAAACGACAAGCATCAAGTCGAAAATTGAAATCACCAAATATAACATATGGTACAGTTTTACCTGAAGGGTCAAGTGATAAACTAATAAAAAATAATATTCAATTATACATAAATAAATAAATTAATATTCAAACCGTTGTAGAGTATATTGCAAAGCACTTCTACGAAATTTACTGTATATAGATGGACTTCCTTCTATTGCTAAAAGATTTGATGCGTCATGAAATAGATGTACATTAACTAAGTCAAATATACTAGTAATAAAAATAAATAAGGATTATTAATTAACAGATTTCTTTTTTTGAAATATTTACAAGCCATGTATCTGCCAACGAGTTTGTGTAAAACCTTTTCGAGACCATTTTGCCTAAGAATATTTTCATTATTAAATAAAAATATGAATTTTGCTTATGTGCTATTTGTCTTACTTCAGGGAAAAAATCTCTAGGATATTTTTCTCTTCGTAATGCTTGAGCATTGACCAGATTACCAGCGAAAATCTGACGATTAACAACAGTTTGAAAAGATGAAGCTAAAAAAAATCAAAAAAATCAATACATAGAAATTAATTATTTTCAGTTTTTTTAATACTCGTGAAGTTCCATTGTTGAACAGAAAGATTTTGACGAATAAAATATGCAGAACCAAGAGCCTAAAATAGAATCATATAACAAAAAAAAATATATAAATAATAAAATCTATTAATTAACTGTAAATGTATCCTGAGATGAATAATCCGAATCAAAATATAAACGATAACGAGTAAAATCAGAAGAAATTTCCGGTAATTGAAGAAGATCACTATTTAAATATGAATAGATCGAATTAATACAAACGAAAAATTCAATTAAATTACTTGAGAAAATGATCAAGTGTATGCATAAATTTTTCATAATCTTTTCCTCCAACTTCTTGACAATGTAATGCTATAAAATCAGATGGATGCTGACGTAAAAGCTAAAGTAAATAAAAAACAAAAGAAATTATTTATTCGCGCTTAACTTTACATTAAATATTTTTGTTTTATGTTTTAAACAAAACTATGTCAACAAATAATAAAAATTTAAATCTATTTCAAACAGCTACAACACAAATAAAAAATATTTTATCTAATGATGATAATATTAAAAATAAAACAAATGAATGTATTATTTATAATAAACCATCAACTATAGATGATACAAATGATTGTATGTTTAATAAAAATGTCGATGAGTTATTTAAATGTGAATCTGATTTATATGAAGAAGATAAATTTCGTGTATGTTTTATTGATTGTTCTTGTGATTGTTTAGTATGTCTTTTTTTTTTTTTATTATTATTTTCTTATTTATCTAAATTATTTCTAGGCTAAAAAAGTAACAAAAGGTAGACTTATACCAACAACAGATTTGGGAATATTTGAAAAACTATTAAAAAATTTACAGTCAAATAATTATAATGTTTTTTGTAATTGTCATTGTGGTGATAATCAACAACGTTCGTTTTCATTTAATTATTCTGCTGGACAACAAAAACGAACAATATAATTTAGCTTATTTTTCTGTTTTTTTTTCTCTTTCTGATGACAATGCCATTCTTTTTATATTTATATCTATTATCTCTGTCTGTGTTACTTACGTTTCCGAATTCGATCAACCATGCTGTTAACAGATCCGGCTAGAAAACAAAACAAAAAAAATAACAAATGATATAAGAAAAATCTTATTTTCATATACCTTTTCGAATATAGAACCTGTGTTAGCTGTAATCAGCAATAATCGAACATTTGGTGGATTTGATGATAATGTATGTTCAATACTCATTATCGTTTATCGATGAAGCAAAATAAATCTTTTTTACATGGTGACGATTGCACTGTTATGATTATTGTTGTTTATCTGAAGGCATCACCCAAATTACAAATTCTTCTTCATATTGTACATATATAAGACATATGTGTTATATGGCCCTATCTGTGAAAGCTGGATTATAGAAGTATAGAAAGATTAAGTAAAAGAGTACAAGGCAGGTGGAGATAATTAATAGATTATATAAAAAATAAAGATAGAAGAGTCCCTACATATTATGTACAGATTGCTTTAATAAATTGTTTGTAGAGAAAAAGATGGCGATAAAGAAAAAAATAGCGCTTCTGCTCGATTGCTAGTTTATGGAAATATAGTAGTGATGATGATTTGATGATAGATATTTGGCTAGAATTGGCGCTGTTGTTACTGCTCTTTTCTTCTTTGCTCTACCTCAGTAGTATAGTAGATAGAAAACAAACGAGTAAATAGAACGAGAAGGAAGGAAAAAAAGAGCATAGACATTGTTGATGATAATACACATAATCCTCATGCTCCTTTGACACATAACAACATTGGATTGCAATCAACCATTTTTCTCTTTTCTATTCTGTTTTTCCAACATCTTTTCAGGATACGATGCGCATGTATATGTCTATGCAATTAAAATGTACTTTCTGCCTTTGACTGCCATTATCTCAATGAATTTATATATATATATATGACTGTATTTTCATTTCATTTTTTTTGTTTTTAAGTGCATTCTATATGATAGGACTTAAATATTTTTATAGCACAATAAATCATCACGCACGAAAAAAACATTTATAATAAACGTTAACTTAGTTCTGATAAAAGGAAATATATTTTATAAACGTTCCGCTAATAGATATTAATACATGTGTCGATAAAACATAAAAAACTATTATTATTACTGTTATTAGTAGTAATGGTAATAATATCTAATGGATTAAAGACAGAGAATATGTGAAGAAAATTATTAAGTAAAACCACCTGTTGTCATTATCAAATAATATCGAGTTACTACGTCGAAGAAAAACAATTCGAGAAATCATATGTGATGAAGAAGACGAAGAAAAAAGAATAATTCTATAAGTAACTAAAACAAATCATATTAGAACTATGAATGTTTTTTGTCAATTCTACATTTAGACCTCTTCAAATAGCAGATCGTTTTTTATTATCCATGTACTAAGACATCAAAATGGCAAAGACATTTATCACTTAGTTGAATTACTTTACCATAGGAAAACTCTTGAGGATGCGATTCTCTTCCTCTTTCAAATGTGTGTGTGTGTCTGGTAATGCTAAAATAGAGATGTAGATCTATTTCTACGACTGACTTCTAGTGATGCCATACAACAACCAAACTATAGCTTGCATGCTGCTTTCTAATGCGCGCACACACACATATAAGATACCATTTTTCTTATTTCCCACCCGCTGTCCAAGTAATGCTTTTTTATCGAACCTATCAAATATATAGGAGTACGCAAGCATATATATATATATAACGATGAAAAACGATCGTAGTTGCAGGCGAAAGAACGCATGCAAGCAATGAGCGAACACGCACATATGCACACACTTGCCCACCGGCGACTATAGATTAAGAAGGCCAAACATATAGAAAAACAAAGGTCATCGATGAAAAAGATAAATGTCTTATATCAATAATTTTCTCTTTTCAAAAAGTCACTTACCTATTTGCATGTAAAATGATAATTATATGTTGAAATGTAATCTTCATCACTTTTCTTTTTCTTTTCTAAAATAAAAAAAAAAATAAGACAAAATGATTGATTATGTGGCTTTCTTTTCATTTCATTCACAAAGATTTATCGATTATATGTATATATATAAAAAATGAAGTTAATTAAAAACAAACATAAAGTATAAAGAAAAAAAAAATGGAATTATTCTGAAAGACATTAAATACCCAATTTCGTCACATGTACGCACTACTGTTATAGTCAAAAAAAAAATAGCAAAGGAAACAAATTCTACATATACGTGCATATATATAAATATCACTATTCGGATATTTGCGAAGCTGAATTAGTATTTTTGAAGATACAAAAAAAAGGAAACGTCAGAGATTATTTATTATGAAATTATCACATTACATATTATTCAACTATTTATGCATTTAACGATGATATCGATTAACAAGCAGTTTTAATTGACCTTTAGAGTCTGCTGTTACCATCACATAAATTGGTCCTGTATTATTCGTGATCGATAAACCTTCAGATGAATTTGATGCAATATTTATACCACTTATTCGTGTTCGATTAGTATCTATACTTGATGTTGTTGAAATAGGAGAATAATTTATTAAAGATGAACTATCACTTGATGAATATAAATAATTCATTATTAAACTTGAATTTGGTGCAAAGATCGCAGATGTTACCATTGTATTATGAACTAGAACAGAAAAAAAAAGAAGACATTGAATTTTAGTTTTTTTCGATTAAAATTGTTGTTGATTGTTTGATTTTTGTTCTTTATATCACCTCGAATACGTTCAAATGCACGCTCAAAATAACGTCGTTGTTTTCGTGTTAATTTAGCATTTATTGGTGAATCACTATCATCGCTATTTGGTTTAGTTCTCCATATATAAAACCAAGAATCTTCACTGCCACTTGAAAAAAAAACACAAGAAATTAAGAATTATGAGAAAATAAAACTGAAATTATACCTAATGATATATCGATCATCATAACTAAATGATGCTCGAATTTGACTTGATTGATTTAAATAGCCACGATATTTACATTCAATTTCTTTCGATCGAATATTAAATAAACGTATTCGAGAATCATTTGATGTAATTAATACCTTGAGAAAACAAAAACTTATTTAAAATTTCTTTCTTTCAATTCATCATGTATACTTTTGAATTATTTGAACTCATTGATTCAATGCCTGTAATTTTAGATGGTTTTCGACGTTTTCTTGATCGAACACTTCGAGTAACGTCTTTATCTCCAATATGTATTACAGTCTAAATGAAAACAAAATAAAAAAAAACAAATGTTATAACAAAAAATATATGAAAAGAAATAATGAAAAATTCATACATCATATTGTAATGAATCAGTATAAAATAAAAATCGACCGTCAAATGTTCCAACAGTTACTCTACGGCCATCATCACAAAAATTCACAGCTGTTATTAAATTAGCTTCAGCAGCAGTTATTTGAGATGATGCTTGAGCTGGTATTAATGTCCAATGCACTACACGTTTATCAGGAATATTCCATAGACGTACATGTCTAAAATTTTTTATTTAAAGATTATATCTTAAAGAATAATTCCTCCATCACTTTTCTGAAAGCTTAAAATAATTTTAAAAGCTTAAAGACAGATCGGTTTCAATGAGAATAACAAAAACTGTCATGGACACAAAATTCACAGATGCTTTTCGGTAGAAGATATTTGATATAGAAAGGGCAAAAAATGTCCTTACCGTTGCTTTTTCATCCACAATATGTCTGATAGAGCTGAAAATTTTATTGCAAGTGCAAGACACGGCTTACAATGACTTCGTTTGATATTTTTATGTTTGTATAAAAACACCAAAATTCTAAGAGCACTCTAAGGATGTATTTTTTGCTCGTTAGAAATCTTTTCCTATTGATAGAAGGTTCTTCAACTAATCATTCCATTTTGAATCGAGGCTATGTGCATCATGCAGACTCTAATTAGTTATGAATACATTGAAAATATCACGGATTGTTAGCTTACTGTTGTTGAAGTATTTAGTTTTTCTTTATTAATTCTATAATACTTCTAAAGACCACTAAGCAAAGGTTTTCGTTGACTTGGTACTTTCCATGAAGACTGAACTCATCGTGAATAGTTTTTTAAAGTTCGAGACATTTCTTTTTGTTCCTATCCTAAGAAACAGCTATGACAAAGACTTGTATTTTTCACTGGTTATATACACCAGCAGATTTGATGTTCTTACTTCAGGCAAATACAAATCAAAAGACAAAATACTAGAACCCGTCAAGTTAAACACGAATTTCGGTTCGAAAACTTAGGATATGACGAACTTCAGTAGTTTGAGACATGTGTTGATTATCGAGCCATAGAACACAAAATCTTGGAAAAAAATTATGTTGTATCATCTGGACGATTGTTCAATGTCGATTAGAAAATTTCATTGAGAATATCAAAGTAGGTTTCGAACGAGTCCGAACTCAACATGGAGCATTTATAATAAACTATTCTGATTAAGATTTGTGTCTGTGCAAAGTTTTAAGTTGAAATTTGAAAATGAATTTTCATAGTATTCCAGAGAAGGACCACGGCATTAACTTCGGAAATACAACAAAAATGCAGCATCACAATAGCAGTAATAAACTATGGATAAAAACTATTTTTTTTTTTCAGGGTAATCATAACTCATTAGGATCCATATGATGCCCATAGTTCAGACTTCAAAGTTATTAATCAGTTGAGGAACTTCTCTCATAAGCACTTAGAAAAAATTAATGACACATTTGACCTCGATATCAAAAGAAAAGATAAGCACCATAAATATTTTCTAATATTAGTAGTAGAAAGTTTCAGCTTTATTGGAAGCAATATGATTGAGAAATAGAAGACTTTCTCCACTGTTTTTCTTTCGTCAGAAACTCATTTTCCAAAATAAACAAAATAATGTAAATATATTGATGTTGATCAACGAAAATATTATTCTTTTACTGTTATAATTGTATATCGATTTTTGACATATGTCCTATATATATGTATATATAGAACATTTCGAAGCGTATAGGAGCTGAATCAAAAAGATTGAAAAATCTAAACAAGTTCCGGTTCGGAAAAGAAGAACCATTGAATACTACTTGCATTCTTTTATAAAAATATTTGTAATTTATCCTATTATGTAGAAACCAATCAATACAGAATGGAAAAAAACCATATGTCAGTAGTCTCTGTATGAGAACGTTGTGTTTTTTTTTGTATTGGTATAGACTTAGTTTCAATCTACTGAAAAGAAAAGTGCTTTATCATGCACATTGTTCTTCGAAGACTATTTTCAAAAGTCTCACAATAACTTGCAGCTATGTTTAATATTTAATAAATAAGCATAAAATACAAGAAGTAGAAAGTCTTGAGAAAAAAAATCGGTTCTTAATTCAAAGCAATTACAATCCTCCAAAATAAAGTGAAGTCAATAAAAAATAGGTTTTACATGAATATTTTTCATAGGGAAGCATTCGTAACTTTTACGTCTATGATAATTTTTGTTGTACTTATCGGGATCTATCTATCCTGAAACTTTAAAAGTTTTCCGATGAATTGCTTTCACTAAAGGTCCAAAAAGGAGTTTTCTTTACGTATTTACTAGAATACGAAAGCAATGGAAGCTTTCCAGTACATATTAACTAAAGATTTTCAAAAAGTTTATTAGATTTTAACGAAGTTGAATGATGATGTTTAGAAATCTATATCATTTTTTATTCTTAGTAGTGTAATCAGTAAGGGCTAGAGGAAGCTGAGTTTTCTCTACTAATTTAAACTACGTTAGCTAAACTCCGCTACAAGCCCGACCATCTGACAAAAGACTCTCTCCAGATGTCGAATCGCTTTTCGACTGAGACGATGTTCATTTGATGAGTGCTAGTGATTGATAGATAAGTGTAGAATGATTTAGTGTTTCGATCGTTTGTTCTTGAAATATCGAAATTTTACTGAATTTTTCCTACAAAAAGCTGTTGACTATCTCAAGTCACATGGAAAATTAATCTTCAAGATTTGATTTCAAACTAAGCATGCACAAAGGTCTCAATGAGATTAGTTTCATGAAGCAAGTTGTAACTTGCATATTACTTCTTTTCTGGAGATGTAAATATATTTTTAATGAAGAGAAATCGACACATAAACGAAAGTTCAAGCGGGTTCAACTAGCTTCTTTTTCTAGTGTTTGTTTAAAGGAATAAGGAAGATGGATCGCTCTTGTGAATTTCATTTGTTGGTTGTTGTGCGATTAATTTTATTATCATCTTCCTCTCGTCAAATTCAATCAAACGCTTATTCGCACAATCTCTATTGACATTATTTTCTCTCTGACGTTCTTAAAAGTTAAGGCCACCCCTCCCCCCCCCCTCCCCTCAAAAATCGATCTTAGCTCAGGAACATTCAAATGACATGAAAATTTCAGGATATGTTGGGACTGATGAGACATGGCTATGATCAAATTTTCAGCCCTATAGCACGATGTTTAACCGAGATATGCACCAAACAAAGGCCAAAAATAGCTCTTTAGTATCTCCAAGTTTTCTCTGTGGGTCTTCATTCTAGACATTTAATTTTTTTTTGTTTGAAAGAGCATGTCAGAATGCAGCGACTCTCGTGGCCCTTTTTTTTCTAAAGTCTTACTGTTTAGGGGAAAAAACCGGAGCGAAAGTTCAATGACTCAAAAAACTTCTCTAAAAATTGCGCTCTTCCGATAGAGATGTTATCTTCTATGATAATAAAAAAGCTTATTTTAAAAAAAGGGCCACGAGAGTCGCTAGCCCTGCACATAAGCTTTCAAACAAAAAAAAAATATTTGGCTTTATCTCTTACTGCGATGGAGTTCTGCTGGAGATATGTCGTTGAATCCACGTTCTGAGAAAAACGAAAAATAATTTTCGGTTTTTTGTAAAAACGGCCTGTTTTTCGAATAGGGGGTGATGAAAACCTACAACATTTTTTGGGAAAAAAGGAGGTGCCGAGTAAAAATTTTTGTCGTATATGAAAGAGCAGATCACGGGCTATCTACCTATGCATTTTTCTCAATTTCGATGATTCTGACGAAAAGTGACTTTTTTGAGGGGGTGGCCTTAAACAGTTACAGTCAAATACCAACATTGCAATATTCACCCACTGAGTTTCTTTTTGTTTTTTGTTTGTATCTTCCAAACATATCGAGGTCTAGTTTACTCTCTTCCCACGCAACACTATTTTCGGATTGAATGATTGTACTCTTACTACAAGGTCTGTGTCAAGTCATATATTATCTACACAGGTGAAGTGCTTGCGTCAAAATGACACCAACGAACAACCATGGTATATCAGTCGTGCCAAACGGCATCATACCGACGCAAATTGATATATTATGAGTTGTATAGTGACCTAACACTATAGTACCATGGCACATTCATCACAAGTTTTTTCTTTAGGCTGGACAATGCGTCAACAATGTAATCTTATACGAATCAATTTCATTGCTTTCTAAGCTTTTCTTAATCAATGTACAGCATAAGAAGAATAAAAGTATGATTATTCGCAAATGTAATCATTCTGTTTTCTTTTTTGAATTTATCATTAAACGTCGCAGTTAAAGTATCCAAACATGGCTCAAACTCTATCTATTTAAATTCTTATTTATGTATTTTTTTCATTAGTAGAAAAATGTATGCCTAACTCATCACATGACGAATTAACAGTTTTCTTTTTATATGAGAAGATCAGCATGAATATATGAACAAAATTTGCTTTTATATATATCAGACAATTTTGAATATTGGAATGTCTCAGAATAGAAGATACTAGAAAAGTTACACTGTATCCAATAAGCTAATCTCATGGAGAACTTTGTTCATACAAAGTTCAAATATCTCAAGAACTAAAGGCTCGGAAAACAAAACCATTCTAGATTTTTCTATTACTCACTAGTACTCATCAAATGAAAATCGTCTCAGTCGCAAAGTTATTTGACGTCTGAGGAGATTTCCACATGAGCCTGTTGAGTCTAAAACCTTCAGACTAGACTTCGGGACCAAACCCAAGAAGTTCTCAATAAGTCTCCTAACTGTCCAAATCCTAGGTATGCCATTCTTTATTCCTGTTTTTAAAAAGTATTGCAAAATAAATATCATGGAAATGAAATAAAAATCTCAGACTTAATCTACGTTATGAAAAAAGGTTAAAACTAGAAGATCAAATATTTAATTACATTCTTTTTCTTATGTTCAATTTTTCGAAAAATAAATATCATGCATAATATCTTACCCATCTAAACTTGCCGATATAAAATATCGATCATCTCGTGGATGAAAAGCAATTGCCGAAACAAAATCCACATGAAGAAAATAGCATAAACATTCTAAACGAGTTAAATGCCATAATCGAACAGTTTTATCCATAGATGATGATAGAAGAAATAAAGATTTTGACCAAGCAACATCGAGTACAGGTGCTTGATGACCAACAAGTTCTGAAAATGGTTTAGTATAAAGTGGAACTTGCATTTCATTTAGACCAAGTTTAGCATTATTGGATGGTGTCATTGTTTCAGATGATATATTTTGATGAAATTCATAAAATCTATTTCTTAATATTTCATTTTGTGGTTTCGATGGATTTGATGTTATACGAGAAAAATCATCAAAATATGGTCGTGCTGATTTTAATACCCAAATTTTAAGTAAACAATCTTGACCACCTGTTGCAAGAAGATAACCATCAGGTGAAAATCTATATTTAATTAAACACAAAAAGAAAATAACAAGAAAATTTCTATTAATTACTTCATACACCAAATAGGTCCATTATGAGCGTCAACAATTGTTTGTAATAATTGTGTTTTATCAAATTGTGTTGGTTCTTTTAAATATCTTGATGCTTTATATTTTAAATCTCCATTTGAACCATCATTAATTAATAATCTTTCAGTGTCATCTTCTTCATCATCAATATCACCTGAATTATTATTTTCATAGACTGTTTTAGGTTTCATTTTACGTAAAAAATTTTTTACAACTAAATTTTTCAATTGTTTTTTTATTGATACTGGTGAATGTGTATTAGATGTTAAAGATTTACCAGTAACTGATGATGATAATCTAAGTGTTGCATGACTTGATTTTGTACTTGAGGATTCAGATGATGTTGATTCATTATCATCATCATCTGCATTTTCATGTTTTTTATTTTTTTTATGTGAAAGATTTAGTTCTGATTTACTAAGAGTATTATTATCCGATAAAGAATTTCTTACAGTATTCCGACTATTCAATATTGAATTACGACGTACTGTTATAATACTTCCACTTCTATGAGTACGTTGCATTATTGTTTGTGTCATGGGATTAGCATCACTTAATGGAATATATTTTCCACTATCAAGATCAAGTACAATTGGCTGTTGAAGAATTTCTTCATCATCTAATATTGGACCATTTGGAGCTAATTCACCGAATTTTGTTATACTATCAATCATATGTAAATCAATTACATTGGGCTCGCTACTAGCAGATAAAGTTCTATTCTTTGAATAATATCCACCTGTACCACGTGTTGATGCTGCAGGTAATGAAAGTGGCGGATGATAATCATAAGATTTAATAGAAGAATTTGTTAAAATTTCTTTTGAAAGTGAAGATATAGAGCTCTATGAAGAGAATAAACAACTGTTTGAATCAATAGAAAACTTTTGATGATGTTTTTTCTTAAGTATATCATTGATGCAGACTAGAATTTTCTAATCTAGACAAGTATGGGCTCTTCGGATCGATTAAAATTCAAGTATGACTTAGAATTCTCTCTGATGACCTCAAGTCTAGTGAGAAAGTCGAAATTATTCCGATTTTTCGAAAGTAAAGTTAGGGAAAAAAGTTTAGCACACTTTTTATTTTTTAAATTTCTGGTCAAGAACAACTTATTGGAAAAATCCAAATAGTGATTTCGATAGTTCTCAGAGCGGCCTACAAAACTGATATGAGAATATTTTTCAGAGCACGCGTATTTTACTTTTTACTACACAAAAATATTTTCTCCAGCGGAAAAAAGTTTAGTACACTTTTAGTATTTAGCTCATTTTTTCGTTATTCCGCAAGAGGTGAAAGATATTCTATACACCATTCGATGCAGAATTTAACCGGCTACATTTCGGTAAAAAGTACTTATTCATATATTAGAATATTAATTAATTAATAGGTAATAATAGTTAGCAATTAATTAATAGAATTTCGATTTATTTTTAACTTCCAACTGCAGAGCATAGAAAACTGAACAAAATTGTATAATTACTTTTTCGAAAACAGCGGATTTCATGAGATTTTATTGTGTTTTTGGAGTATGTTCAGTTTTAATTAGACATAGTATTCATAATTTATAAAAAAAATAAATTATGAAATGACACATTAAATACGCAAAAACTAGCGCGTTTTGCAGAGCAGCATTAGCTCTTTCAAATAACACGTTGCTGCTTTCTGTACAATATTCTGTACAAATGTTACAACGTCCTTACTTGTAAGAACTAATTTGAGCCATAATTTCCAGCCATTTTTCTGTTATTTTGCATTCTACATTTTGAAAACATTGCAAGATTTGTACAGAAAGCAGCAACGTGTCATTTGAAAGAACTAATGCTGCTCTGCAAAACGCGCTAGTTTTTGCGTATTTAATGTGTCATTTCATAATTTATTGTTTTTAAAATTATGAATACTATGTCTAATTAAATCTGAACATACTCCAAAAACACAATAAAATCTCACAAAATCCGCTATTTTCGAAAAAGTAATTCTACAATTTTGTTCAGTTTTTTATGCTCCTTCATATGGAGCAGTTGGAAGTCAAAAATAAATCGAAATTCTATTAATTAATTAATAATTAGTTAATACTCCAATATATGAATAAGTACTTTTTACCGAAATGTAGCCGGTTAAATTCTGCATCGAATGGTGTATAGAATATCTTTCAACTCTCGTGAAATAACGAAAAAAATGAGCTAAATACTAAAAGTGTGCTTAACTTTTTTTCCTCACTTTATATATTAGAATGTGTCAAACTTTAAATTTCTTATATCTAACAGTTATATATCTCATCGTCCAAACGAACATTATTGAAAAGAAAGTTCGCCGAACGCCTTTTCGATCATCTCTGTTCTTGAGTTTCGTTTCTGTGACCACTTCTTACCTTCACTCGTTCTGAATAGTTATCATACATAATACGCTGCAAAAATCATCTCAAAATATCACCAATAGATTCAGTCATTGAAATGAAGATCGCCGAATTTCGGTAAAGAGCATATTGATCATGAGCACTGAATAAAAACAGAATCGAGAGTGTTCGTTGGGTTGCTAACCTATTCTATAGTCGACCTCACTATATATACCCTAAGGTAAAGGTGAAAAACAGAGTATCCTGTGACAGTCTCCGTTGAAATGCAACAAAAGCTTTTAGGAAGTCTATCGGAAGAAAAAATGGCTGTTTTCCGGATTTTCGCCTTTTCAGTAAGAAATGATCCATCGTTAGAACTAGGGGACGACAAGCTCTTTTGAGCTGAACTGAACTGGTGAACAGGTTCGTTTGAGCTGTGTTCCCAAAACAGAACACTTCTGTTCTGTTATGGGAATTATTTCCCGAAAACGGAACAAAAGTGTTCTGTTTTGGGAACACAGCTCAAACGAACCGGTTCACCAGTTCAGCTCAGCTCAAAAGAGCTGTTCGAACCGTTTCTCTGAGCGGAACTGAGCTGAGCTTGTCGACCCCAAGTTAGAACTCTGTTACTTTTCAGCAAATTTATCAAAATTCATTATTCATCAGTCTTTTTTTTTTCAGAATAGAGATTATCTTAAAGCACTACATATTTATAGAACTTATTTGAAAAATAAAGTCTCTCAACTAGGTCTACGCTTCTCAGAAAAGAAAATACAAAATCAATGTTCAAACCTTCTTTGGACATTTGATTTGCTCATTATCAATATCATCTTTAAGAGCATCTAGTTTTGATGATATATCTTGAACGCTTGATACTTCTTCTTCTACTATTGATGATGATAAAATTGAAGGTGATTCAGGGAAGTTTTTGACTGTAACATTTTGACTGTTTCGATTATCAGGAATATCTTGAGAACGTAAACGTTGAAGCTTATCACGCCTTTCAATATCTTGTAATTGTTTATCAGTTAAGGAAATCGTACAAAAATGTTCCTAATAAGAAAAAAAAACTGCAAGATATCTACAATATTTCACTTTATTAATAAGCATACAGGTTTTTTTAATGATTCATCTCTCGATGATATTCTCCATCGCGGTTCTCTTTGAAGAGGATGACTGCTATAAAACAAAAAAAGAAAAATTTATTCATAGATTTCTAATAAAAACTTACTTTTCTATTTCAGTATTTGATAAACTACTATTAGCATCATAAAAAACAGAATCATCATCAATATCACTTGAACTGCTATCATCACTATCACTAGAAGAGGCCATGGGTACCATGCATCTAAAGATCATAAATTTTATACATTCATTACGGTTAATAAAAGAAAAAAGGCAGTGCGAAAAAGTCAAATAAACGAAAATATTATTGCCATGTGGACCGTTTGAATATGATACAGAACGAACTAAATCGCACTTTTTTTTTAGAAATATGAAAAACACCGAATACTTAATTGAAATCATAATATTGAGGTATACTCAATAATATGATTGCAGTGATGACAGCACAAAAGAGTAAAATTGAGTAAAGAAAAGACTCAATGACGATTGGATAACTAGAATGAGTAAGGTGATTAATAGATGTCAGTAATGTTTGATAAAGACAATTCTAAATATTCAATTGTCTAGAATTTTTCATTCGATAAACTATACTTATGATAAATGATTAAAAAAAAACATGTTTTAATATTCAATATCCAAAAAAAATAAACTATGATTCGAACGTTTCACTGAAAATGTATGATCAAAAACAAAACCTTACTCTAGTTTGATCAGCGTTTTGTCTTCACGGATTAGAAAAGATTGACTCTAGGTCAATGACATATTGTGTATAAAACTGGGATCCTACATTGCATATCTCCATTCATTATTTAGATTGGGATAATGTCTTCTGTTCGAATGCCCACACTCATTGGTGATTAATAGTCTCAAAGTATTTGCATATGAAAAAAAAGGACGATTGTTTGTCGATATGTTTTAAAAGTTCACTCATATTTCTATTATTTATCACAAAACAGAAGTGCTTGACAAGTAATAAACCTAATAATTGATGTTTTTTAATTAATCTACCTATAGGGCATACAAACATTATTCAATAAGGTTTATTTTCATTTTTTTTCTCACTGACTTAATTGTCAGAAAGAATCCTACTAGTGATTCGAGAAGAAAAAGTTCTATTCCACAAGAGAACAAGGAAATTAAAAAAAAATATTATCAGATTCTAAAATATAGAATCTGCAGGAAATCCGAACTCGTGTTTGTCAACACCTATAACACAAATAAAAATTTTTTTCGCTTACATGGACTGATAGACCGAAGAATTCTCTATAAAACGAGACGTCTCTGAGTTCTCTATGATATTTTTTAGCCGAGATACACACATATTACTTAAAGTCCTATATTTGTTCTTTTTAATGAAGCGATTTTCTATAGAAAAATAATTTTTGGACTTTCAATTAAGTTGTTGTATCTCAGCCGAAAAAATGTTGTATAAAACTCGGAGACGTCTAAGTGTGTAGGACATTGTTCGCTCTATTATTATGTGTAAGCTATACAAAATTATGGAAGTCTAATACTATTTTGCATTTCTTTATATTTTTGTTGAAAAGAATTTTTTTCTACTCGAGTCACCAGTTGAATTCTTTCCATTGCTTAAACCAACGGAAAAGAATTGAAAAAAAAACATTATTGAAGAATTTTAGTACTCATTGTATAAACAGAAACATTAAACGTTTAGTTTTGACATTGGACTTTATTAATATTTTCTTTTGACTTCTAACTATCAATCTATCAAGAAAAAAGAACGATGATCATTTCAGTGAAAACATCACATTTATATGCTGTTACATGCACAGAAAAAAAAAGAATTTGTTTGAAATTAAATAAAAAAAAAGGGTAGTTGAATAATGATATTTTCGAATACATTATTAAATATACGTTATCGATGAGTTATTTAAAATTTATTACGGAATAGCTTTCAATCCTTGTCATACAATAAGTTAGAAAGTTGAAGAACAAATGAAATAATAAACATTTTCTTATCATAATAGTTTCAGTAAAAAGTAAAAAGAAAACAAACTTGCCGTTACAAACCCTATGGGACTAAAATATAGAATTCATATGTGTGCTTTAGCTTCATTATACTAATACAAGACATATTAAGTGAAAAATCTCTTGTAGACTATAGTTGTATACCAAGGATAATTGATCGTCAGGGAAGCAAACAATCTGTCTTATTTATATCTGCACTTCGGACAATTTTTTTTTCTTTTCTTTAATGACGTTCTATTCTTTTGTTTGACTTGTTGCTATTTGCTCGTTATTTTTTTCGTATTGCGTTTTTCTTAAATTAACATTATTATTATTCTGATCATTGATTGAACTGACAAATAAGCTTGTTGTATATACCAATTATATCTACAGCAGATCTCAACACGCTACTATATATATTTTGATAAGCCCAAAATAACTGATGTTAATTATTTTCCAAATTTATAACTTGATTAATTCAGGCTGTGGAGGTTGATCATATAAGGACTGTTGCAAATCAATGCATCACTACTCATCATTCGTGGCATCTTGAATAGAAATTTTTATTTAATCAAATATCACAAGTTGCACTATTTACAACATTTACAAGCGTAATCAAATCAATTAGATGTTTCAGAACAATCAAAGTCTTGCTGTTAATAGCATTCAGCGTCTTTTTGCGTTGCTAATGGACTATGTGAAAGAAGCCTAATACTTGTTGACCTCAATTGCTAAGGTCTGTTAAGCTAGAGAGAAGACGCTCCACGAAACTCCAATTAGTGACCTTTATCAAAAGGAAGAATTACTATAAGATGTATTGAGTTCTTACATTTAATGTTTTACTACTATTAGCCTCATATATAGATATATAAAACTAACTTTTCGCTTTATAATTTAAAATTAGTTCTATCTTGAGACATTCCGAATAATGTATGATTATTTCTGCTTTGTTTTCTTTTTACGCAACTAATCAATAAGACTGTAATAAATTGTATGATCGATATACTATTGCATAATTTACTTAAAATTTAATCGACCAAATAAATGACATCAATTTTTATATTAATCAAGAAAGCTGTTTATGTTTTCTGCTTATAGTAAGCTTGGGATCTGTGATGACAATTATGCCCATTTGCTTTTGTCCTGATGTCAACATGAATAATCGATTAACCTCAATATAATCAGAACACAATATGTTGCATGCAGCAGCTGACAGCTTTTGTATGTATGCAGAGCAGAATATATTATTTTTCATGGTAGTGACGACAAAAATTATAACACAAAAGAAAAAAAAGGAAAACAAAAGTTTAATTTTATATATTAAACAATTTTTTTTTAAATGTACTGTTACACATTGTTTACCAACGAATCCTTGACAACATTATGTTGTTCTTTTTCTGTCTAAGATTAGTTGCATTTGATGCATCGATGACATGAAAACATATTGTAAAATAATAGTTAAAGTATAACGTAATGAAGGAACTTTCTCAGCTACTACTCTATCTTCTAAGTAATTAGTCGTCTGAGAGGCATATATAGAGTGTGTCGAATGTCCATCGAAAGAGTAAATTTAAAATACATATCTTAAACAATTCAAACGATTTTTAAATTTTTTTTGATAAATGTTTATTCTCTTATAAACGCTAGAATAAAAGTAATTTTGTTAATGATTAAATTCAGAGTATATGTGATCATATAATCATAATTGTTCATATAGTTTTAAAAAAGAAATGATTAAAATCAAAATTACATTAAGTTTACTTACAAAACTTCTATAAAGCTCGTACCAATGCAAAGTAATAATGTTTCGAAAAACCTTGAAAAGTTTACAATAGAAAAAGTAAATGAACCTGGCAATGTTTGGCAAAATGTGTCAAAATCAAGTGTTTTCATATGTAACAACATCTCGCTAATATTCATGAATAATAATGTTTAATCGAATCCATAGAAGGTTTAATTTGAATGAAAAAAGAAAACTTGATGAAAGTAATCTACAAGGTCGCGTTTAAAAGTGTAAAACTTTGATATTAATGATGTAGAGGGCAGTAATGATCGAGGGAATTCAATCGTGTTTTTTTGACGAAGTTGCTGTTCATTTCAATGAGTTTATAGTTGAAAATAATGTGAAAATCAAGGTCTATGTTCCTTCTTCCTGTGCTTCTTTGTACCAGAATTCGTTTATTTTTAAATACATGACGTATAGCGAGTAAGTGCGAAAGACGCAGGGTCCTATGGTTTATCGGCCTGAAACAATGAATAACGTTAAAAGCATAAAATTGAATCAGACAAAAAACTGTTCTTCTTTTTCTATAAGTTACATTGTGAACTAAACAAATTTTCTTTCTTAGCTGTTTTGTGTCTATTTCAATAAACATACATTAGTTCACAATTAATATTTATATAGAACTCTATCTACAAACATAACCGATAGAATAAACTAAGATCAAGATTATTTTGTCTAAGGAAAGTTGGAACCGAACATCGTTTTCTTTTCTTTTTGTTCTATGTTTTTGTATCTCTTTCGTTCTCTTATTTATCAATATTGAGATGCTTTTCTTCACTATATTAAAGTAAAGAAGATATTGATAGGATCATTATTTTACATATTTATTCTCAAATCAATATATACTTCGATTAACTATGACATTGAGGAGCTGTAGACTCAGCTCTAATACGCAAAAACGTGGACTCACATCCCCCTAAGAGCAAGTATTGCTTAGCATTTTGAATTTTTGTGCAAAATTTTTAAAACTAATATCATTAATTGTTTGGAATGATCGATAGTCAGACTTAGATAGTGTATTATATAGTATCAGATGATGATTTATAAACAAGTAAATCTTCACATTGATTGTATAGAACATATTCTTGCTGGATCTCGTTTTCATAAATACAACTTAAACTGTTCCCTACAAGCGAAAACTTTCGTGTCATTGTTGGTTTGATGATTGTCAATGACGAATTGTTTTGATCAATTTACTGTTCAATTTGACTTTTTTTGTTCACATAATGCTCTTTTCAACTAAGCGAAAACTTTTAACTTATTAAGCGTCGTCAAATGATGGATTTTCATTTGTTACAATAATAGATAAACCGTTGAGGAGATCAGATGGCGCAATGAGATAATTGTTATATTGATTATACAAGTTGCTTATACGACTTTGCAATTCTATTATTTGTTGGCTTTTTTCTTTGGTGCACCAAAGAACCATTAAAGTATAATACTTCATACAAATTTTTCTTCTGCTTTC